AGAGTTTGCACAGAGGGGCTCTATAACCCCTGGCAACCGCTCACAGCCCAACACCCCTTCCACAGACAGCCGAATCACCTCCAGCCCAGACCCAGTTTCCTGCTGCCTGACCCACTGCCTTTCCCACGACACACACACACACACCGCAAATCGCAAGGAACGAGGACAGCCTTTGGGTGTCTTGGAGACTGAAACCCCTCAAGATCCCAAGTAGTAATTCTCCAAATACAGAATCTAAATATTGTAACTGACGCAGGGGAGGGGGAAGAGGGATGGAACACGAAGCGAAATTATGTTTTTTCGAAACCCAACCCCATTGTGTCAGCACCAGTTTTCCCGAGAGCCCCCGCTGGAGACCAGACTGGGCTCCGCTGGATCCGGAGTGCTGGAGGGTGCAGAATGCAGAAGGGACCCGCACCCATGCCCTCTTACCACCATCACCACTTTGGGAGTGGGGCCCTTAACCTCCCGCTGCACGATGCCAAACCGCTGGCTGTACATTTTCCAGGCCCCTCGGGGTGGGGCGGCTGCGGTCGCAGTCCCCTAACGGTGGCGACCAGCGGAACCAGCTTCCGCGAGGCAGATGTCAGGTTGCCATGGTGAGCCTCGCGGGGCAGGTGGGAAGGGCGGAAGTTGATCTTGTCACCCTGGTGACCATAGACGCGGGACTTGGGACTTCCTCTGGAAGCGGAGAAGCTGCGGGGGGGGGGGGGGGGGGGGGGCGGTCAGGGAAGGGAAAGGGGCCCTCAACACGCCCTTGGTTAGGTCTCCTGCGGACCTCGCCTTTTTCCTAGGGTTCATCAGAGTAGAAAAAAGCCGCCTTTACCCGAAGTGAAGTTGAAGAGCTAGTAATATTCCAATTGTCTTTGCTATTTATATCCTATAACCAGTCGGTCTAAAAGCACGAGAAAGGTTAGTGGACATTTGGTGGGAAGGTTATTAAATTTTGTGGCCATCCTAGGATAATCTGGTAACGTAAATCATCACAAAACCTCCTTGTATATTTTTGCAGTTTTTTACAGTAATTTGTAAGATATTTTTACACATAAGATGTTTGAGCCTCACAAATATCTTACAGGTTAATGCCGTGGTCAGCAAACTGCGACTAGCGAGCCACATGCAGCTCTTTGGCCCCAGCTTTTGGCTCTTCCACAAAATACCATGGCCTGGGAGAGTCTATTTTGAAGAAGTGGCGTTAGAAGTTTAAGTTTAAAAAATTTGGCTCTCAAAAGAAATTTCAATCGTTGTACTGTTGATACTTGGTTCTGTTGACTAAGGGGTTTGCCGACCACTGTGTTAATGGAGCAGCAGGTATTATCCTCATTTTACAGTAATGGCTGAGAGCTAAACTGCCTTGTCACCCTGCCCAACCAGTGATGATAAATCTGTTACTAATAAAATCTTATTGCTCTGAGCACAAATTAAGAGTTAGACTCGGGGTACTCTAGGATGGGGGGCAGACCCGACGGGCTGGGAGTGCAGTGAAAGGAATGGCTGAGTCAAGGGTCACATTGGACCAAAGTCAGGATGTATGATTAAATGTGCAAGGAAATCAGGCTCTGAGTATCCGAATCCCAGGGAACCTGGAAGGGGCCCTCAGCACAGGTAGGGACCACTGTTGTATTTCCAGCCAGGAACAATGTAGTCAATACTTAAAACCAACTAAGAATGACACTTTGCTGCTCTCACTCTAAAGTGGGGTAGACACAGAACACTAGAATATATAGATTACAGAAAAAAAATCAGTACCTAGCAGGTTACTGCCGTGTTTTAACAATAACCAAAGCACAATTATTGTGCATACCATTTTAAGGCTGCAATTTACTGTAAATTTACATTCCTTAATCTCTTGTAATCCACCCACTTCAGATTTTGTATATGGTACTTTTCTAGATTTGGATTCCATTTCCTGAATTGCTGGTTCAGCTTTTCAGCCACAAATTTTTCTTCTCTTTTAATAATCTTTTAAAATATTTTTTTTCCTATAATGCTTCTTCTTTCAATTGCAGCTCAGTAAAATACTCATTTTCATTTACTGCTAAGAGTTTATGTAGCCTGAAACAAACAGAGAAAGAAAGAAGTTAGATGGTCGTCTCGGATCCCTGGACCGAGTCCTGAGGGACAGCTAATTCCTTGACCTTTCAGTCCCACGGGTGTCTGGTCACCCGCTGGTCTCCGGACACCAAATCCTTGGGGAGGAAAAGAGGGAATGAAAACACCAGGCCAGGCGTGGGCGTTTGGGAAAAGCAGCCTGAGGCACCCCCAAGGTCGTAGAGCCTGGAGGATCCAGTCGAAATGAGTTTTGGTGACAGGGGGAAGCTACCCCTGGGTGACACCCGACTGCCCTGGAACGTCCCAAGCGTTGGTCCTGAACTTGTCGTGCCGTACCCTCATCAGAGGCAAGCCCCGTAATTTAACTCCAGTTCGGTTTGCCTGTTTTACCACAATTTGAATCAATTCCCACTATTCGGGAGGAGGCCATGCCCCTAGTCCGCCAGGTCCTGTAGGGGTGAGGGGCTCAGGTAGGATGGTGGTGGTCCCACCACTCAGGCGGGCCTATTCCAAGGGCGCGGTGAGACTGGGCATTCAGCCAAACCCCCAGAGAGGCCCAATAGGAATTACTTGCCCAAGGTCCTTGGTCAGAACCTGACCTTTATCTTGCCACCCACTATCCCACTTTCTCAGAGGCAGTCAATGCTGTTACCATCAACATGACATTCCCAGAAGACACACTAAATATATGAATCAGTAAATGGGACAACAAAAATCGTTTAAAAATAATTTTAAAATAGAACAGCTTAGAGACAAAAACTATATTATTTCCAATTTCTATTGGGCCCCAACAAGGTTCATACAAGGGCTATCCTCTTGATAGTTTTCTGAATTCTACAAATTCCATGATAGTTGGAAATCCATTCACCATTTGCAATACATATTGATGTATATAATAAAATTGCATGTACTCTATCTTTTTCATTCCTGTACCCAATATTAAGTTCAGTGCCTACCACAGGCCAGGTTCTCAATAGTGACGGAGCTGAGACCCACATTTCTACTGGGTGGGTTTGATGGAATTTCTGTATTGCTGGGTCACCATGAAATCCATGGTCTTCCTTCCACCACTTTGCATTTCCAGCAATGTAGCTTTATGGAGTTATCCTCAGGTAAGTAGTGAGACCCTTTGGAGCGGATTCATGACAGGCTGGTTTTGTGATGCATCACCTTGACTAGCCTAGATTTCCCAGAACTCCCTTCCCCAAATGCTTCCGGTTAGAATGGGCTACAAGAAACATTTTATGTGCTAACTGCAGGGAGAAGTGAAACAGCAGCATGTTGTTTTTATGCTTTGAAAGTTGGTGCAGGAGCACCAGGCACTGTTGCAGTTCACACGCTGTCATTTATCTGCTGGCTCGCCTCCTAGGTGTGGAGGGACAGGTCTGCAGCCGCTCCACCTCCCCAGGATCCTCCTTCAGCTTCTCAAATTCCTAGGGAGATGCGTATTTAACTCTGCGGTGAAGGGCACCAGTTTCTTCTGCAGGACACCCACATCATCGAAGTTGGAGGTGGTGAGTGACATGGGTTCCAGGCCATCTGCAGGGGGGGTCCAGCTTGTGCTTGTGGGCGCCAATGTGTCCTCGGTCTCCCACATTTACATCCATCTTCCCTTCCCGATTGCCTGCCCTGCAGACTTCAAGCTCCAGCATTAGATGCAAAGACAACAGCCTTAAAGAGACTGTTTAACCAGCTCCCACAATTACGTATGGTCAAATGCCTATAAACCCCTTAATATACATATATATATACATATATACATATATATATAAATATACATACATACATACATATATATATAAAATCTTTTTATCAGTGGTGCTGCTTTTCTAATTGTACCCTGATACAGACAATAACCAGATTCTTATTTCATCAGTCAGAATACCAATCAAATCAATTTCACATAGGACATCATTGTCAAAATTATCAGAATACTAGGGTGGCTGGATCCTGGGAGGAGCAAAACAATAGCAGAAAATTATCCAGTCGACTCTGGCTGAAGTAGGTGGGACAAGGCTAAGAAAGGGGTGGAAGAGGGCTGTATCATGAGTTACAATAGGGAAATAGCTAATCTACCTCTGAATCATCCAAAGCTGCAAGGCTGAAACTAGAGTAAGGCAAGGGATGCACAAAAGCTACAAAATGTAAGGGGGCACACACTCAGTCCTGACCTTGTAAAGCTGGCTAAGTGATGATCCCATGTCTAATCACTTTTAGCACTATGCAAAATATTAGACAGTGAGGCAAGCTGAGCCAAGACTGGCCTTTCGACAGGACTTGAAGCAGAAACTCATACTCCTTGTAGATGGGCTAAGAGCAGAAACCAAGCACAAATGTCAAGGGGCAGGGGGCACAAGTGGTCAAGAAAGATGAGCCAAGCTGACAGCTCTACTTCGAAGACTGCTTTGGCTGAAGAGAAGGAGGAAAACGCAAAATGGACAGCAGCCAGAGTGGAAAGATACCTTTTAGGATTTGAGGAATCTTATGCAACACCAGAGACCTGGAAAGAACCCAGTCTCTGGATGCACAGGTGCTCTAACAAGGAGACCCAAGCACACAGCCTTGGCACTCCCTAGACCAGTGGTAGGCAAACTTATTAGTCAACACAGCCAAATATCAACAGTACAACGACTGAAATTTGAGAGCCAAAATTTTTAAACTTCAACTTCTTCTAATGCCACTTCTTCAAAATAGACTGGCCCAGGCTGTGTATTTTGTGGAAGAGCCACACTCAATGGGCCAAAGAGCCGTTATGTGGCTCGTGAGCCGCAGTTTGCCGACCATGGCCCTAGACCACGCTAGAGACATCAGTGTAAAGAATTTGCTATAACGCTTAAAATTAATCCACCTTGTTTTTGGAGTTGCTGCAAACTTGTTACTATATTATTACACATTGCTGAACTCAGGATTACAATTTATAGGTTAATGGCTTAAAGTACAAGGCTTTTACATTAATGGTTTAATTCTAGACTCTATCAATACTAGCTGTTTGACATTGAACAAGTTAATTTCTGAGTGTGTCTTTCCATCTGCAAAAATGGGCAAAATCAGTCTTTCTGAAAAGACCATTCTGAGAAATAAACTGGGTCCCTAAGGAAGAATCACCAGATTGCAGTTCCTTTCCTTATTTACTCACATTACATTTTCAATTGCTGTCTCCCTGAGGAAATGTTTCGAGACACTGCCAGGTCTCACCCAGAAGCCACGTCATGTTTATGAAGATGGCTTGTTTAGCTGGTTTATGGTGGCTTTACTTCTACCCCCAGCCCCAATCCCAACTCCTCAAACTTCTTGTCATGTTCAGGCTTCTGGGATTTGCACCATTTGGAGCAGATGCACCAACTTTCTACTTTCTCTTCCTTTCTTCCTTCCTTCCTTCCTTCCTCTATAAGCTCAAAGGACTGAACAGGCCTGCTCCTCTGGTTTGGTGGTGTTTCCAGTTCCCACTGACTCCTACACAAGCCCTGGCAATCGCTTTAAGGTCCAGCCTCTGAGTAGGTCAGTGTTGTCTCTCATAAAGCCGGTCTGTAAATTTCACCTTGAATCCTACAGTCTGCAGAAGCCTCCAGTCTACTGCTTTCTAGTTCCAGGTTTTTTAAGGTCCTTGGACCTAGAGAAGAGGGAGCAGGTCTGCATGTTGAAGGTTGTTTGCTATGTACAAAATGGAGCATCACAAAACCATTTCCTACTCTTCTTCCCTTAATTATTCCTCTCTCTCTTCTAAAATCTTGCATTACAAACAGCACATCACTCCCTTTTGTGTTATATGTAATGGTTTCATGCACAGGGAAACTGTTTCCCCAGTCAGATTATAAGCTCCCTGAAGGCAGGAATACTCCTGAAAGACGAACATTCCATGGTCATTGTATTCACTGCTGTTACCACCCATACTGCAGTGTATCCAGCAGGGACTTAATCAGTAGCTCTGTAATTGCCCAAGTGCAGATGGAGGGACTTCTGGCCTGCAGAAACTAGTTTGTAGGAACCAAAGAATCCAGGTGCTGAGGTCAATAGTTAACATTGTCTATGTCTGGGACTCTATGTGGGGCCTGTCATCTTTCTGCAGAAAGCAGCATTCCCTGTCCTCTCACTATCTCAGTCCTTACAGGCACCTAGCCTTCATCCTGTTGCCAAGCCTGCAGGGAGAGTTCTGAATAGCAGATGAAACTGTTAATAACCTCCACAGACCCAGGCCCAGGCCCTGGAAAGGCTCAAGAAACATGGCCTAACCCCCCTCCAGAAGGTTCAGGTCTAGTCCAAGATCACACTCTTGTGTGTCGACTCAGATCTCCTGCTCATCCACCACTATCCAGCCCACCTGGACATTTCTTGGAGACTCTAAAGCAGGCGTCTTCAAACTACGGCCCGCGGGCCACATGCGGCCTGCAGAGGAGTCTGAACCAGCCCGCCAGGTTTTTTGGGCAGTGAGCGCAGCCGAGGTGTTACAGTAGGAATTAGTAGTTCATATAGTCCGGCCCTCCAGCTCTCTGAGGGACCATGATCTGGCCCCCACTTTAAAAAGTTTGAAGACGCCTGCTCTAAAGGCATTGAAGACCCCAAATGATGACTCTCTGAGTACAAATTTAAAGTCTGACTCTTGCTGTTTTTTTCTTAGGGACCAGGCTTTACTTCCTTTTTCCTTTCTAATCTCATCACAGGACAACAAATCCTCTCCCTTAACCCCCCTCCCCGCCTCCGACCCTCCCCAAGAGGAGCCCTGACCTGGACCTCAGGAAATCTCTAGGCCTACACATATCTCCTCACTGATCATGATCAATACAGTGTGGGGCCTTTACCTCCTACTGCACCATGCCAAAATACTCAAGGCTCCAAACTCAAGGCCCACATCTGACCGGAACCCACCCCATCCCCACCCATCACTATACGGGGCACACCTTGGCAACCAGACTGCTGTGTCCCGAAGACGGGTTCCACCCAGGCTGAAAATCTCCGTGATCTGGGGAAGAATTAACATCATGGGTCAACATGGCTGGCTAGGTTAAAGGTAAGTCAGGGCAGGGTGCGGTGTCCCTGAGCACTGACCACTGGCGTGCCAGCCCCTCGTGCCTGCTCCTTTGGGGCTGAATCAGAGGCGGAGTCATCCTTGCTCTTCTCTTTTTCCTCCTCAGAGTCAGGTGGCTCTTGCTTCACAACTGGCAGGCCTGAGTCTACTGCCTGGGAGAGGTGGGAAATAGGCAACAGTCAGAAAAGCAAGGTTGGCCTAAGGAAAGAGTCTCTTATCAGCCAACCTGTCACCGTGCTCATAAACCCTTCTGTCACACTTCAGCACAGGGAAACCATCTGTCTAAAATGTTTCCCATTCCCCTCAGATTTCCATTTTTCTATTAGCTGGGCAGCAAGGCAGGCAAAGCTAGTTGCCTGGGGAAGGCAGAGTAATTCTGTGGAAAGGCTGCAATCAGCATACCCGTTGCTCTGCTCAAAGAACCACCATCACGGCTCACCATCACTCAGCTCACAGATCACCCATCACTGAGCCCCACCTTGCTGGGGCAGCCACGCAGCGATACGGGAGAAGTCAGGATGGCTCTGCCTGGTGTCCAGTCTTCCTGAGCATCCACTTTCTCTTGCTTCACCTGGGATAAGACCACAACCCAACTCAGGCCAGGGCACTGGGCCCGCTGTGTGAAGGAGGATTGCAGCAGACTTGGTCCCAGCTTCCTGGAACAAGGCTGGACAGGGTTGGGAAGGGTAGGTTGAGGTGGGGCCCTCACCTGCAACAGGGGTTCTGTGGAAGCTGGGGCAGGGCCAGGTACCTGCACAGGACTGCTTGCACCCTCCCGTAAGAACACAAGGTCAGTGCCAGGCGGGGGCAACACAAAGCCATTGCCTGTTTCCTGTTTCACTGGAGTCTGGGCTTGGTTTGTTCGGACTGTGGGCGTAACCGAGGGGGTCTTCAAGGAATGGCCTACACGGGGCCGTCGAGTAGATCCTGGCCTCTTTCGACGAGGGATAGGTGGGGGTGACGCTGCCCCATCCTCAGACCCTGACCAGACATTTGGCAGCAGGCGCTTCTGTGAGAAGAGGTGGGGTGTTATGGTCACCTGACACAGTGACCTGACCACACTACCCTGCCCTGGCCAACAAGCCTGCTGATCCCCCGAACAGTACCAGCAGAAAATCTGCTTATATATGAGCCCCTTATCACTGAGCCTGCTTGTCTCCTGTTACCAGTGCCAATGCTACCCAAATTACTCATTTACATTGGCTCGATGTCTAACTAATCCTGGACCAAACCCATTGCCCCACTCACCCCTCTGAAGCTGCAAGACCCATCTGGCCCATCCCACCCACCACCCCCAGGCACTGGGGGATCCAGCCTAACCTAACGTGCCCACCTGACCCTTCCTGCCTTACCCACCATGGCAAACTGCAGGCACTGGCGCCAACGACACTTCTGGCGCTTCTGGTTACTGCCTCCGAATTTGGGCTTGTCGCAGCAGAAGTCACAGTGGCCACAGTCCATCCGCCGCTGGCAGGCTGCACAGGCCCCACACTTTCGGTTCTGCCGGCGGTTTGTGTAAGGTTGCTGGGGACAGGGGAAAAAGGGTACTGTCGTTAAGACTAGTACAATACTAGTACAGTTCCTGTTGTTCTTCCACTAGCCCCGTGGGAGGGACCTAGACACACAGTAGTTTTAGCCTGACTCCCACTACTCACACATCAGGCACTGTCACTGTACCAAATACCTCTCGATACTATTAGCATTGTGGCTGCTCCAACACAGTGTCCATTACTCCATCTGCTAGTCCCCACTAGCTACCAAGACAGGGTCTTTGACCTCCCCACCTCTAGTAGGATTCTGCTGACCCTCTATTAGTACCTACCACACCTGCTGCGTCTACTCACCCTATGTGAACTCGGTCATCATGGCAGCTTTTTCTCTTTTAGCCCCACCAGAATGTTACTTCACGTGGCATTAGGTACTATCACTGCACCTGTTGATCCCATATTAGTCTCTCCCCATTGTCTGCTTATCCCATACTGGTACCCATTATTGTGCCTTGCTCTTCCCCTGTTCGGCCCATTGCAGCATGTGCTTCTTTGGGCTTAACCAAGTGCCTTAGGAGAGTCTAGACCTGCCCAGGTAAGTTGGGGCCACTCACTAGCTCGTCCTCGTCTACACAGTAATAGATGAACTCAGCAGGTGATGAGGGGCCCAGGGCTCTGGGGTGCTGCAGAGGCAAATGGGTGGGGTCATGTTAAGTACTAGGTAAGATCAGGGTTGTGCCTTCCCCCGCCCTCTAGGGCCTCACCAGCGCTGGGGTCTTTGGAGGCTGAGGTGGGGGAAGTGGAGGTAGTGGCTGGGTTCTGGAACGCCGCCGGGCAGCCATCTTGGAGTCACAGCCTCCCCTGCGGCGGCTATGCTTACCCTAGGAGAAAGCCAAAAAAGTAGGTGAGTTTAGGCATGGTGGCACCAGACAGACAGGACCCTCCCTCCCCACCCCCCGCCCCCAAGGAATGCAAAAAGCATGCGTGGGACAGACAGACATTGTGGGATGGGGCACTCACAGCAGGGGGAGCCACAGCTAGGGGAGGACGTCGTTGACATCGTTGATGGCGGCGACGAAGGCGATGGGCAAGATGCTGGCAGACAGGGCAGGTAGGTAGGGCCAGGAAGGTGAGAGAAGGGGAAAGGAGAAAAGAAGACATGAGGTGGGCAAGGCCAGGTTGGGAGGAAGCAGCAGCAAGTTTAATAGCAGAATGAGCTCTGCCCCAGCCCTGGCCCCACCAGCACCGGCCCCTCCAGCCTGACTCACTCGTAGACAGCGCCGCTGGATACACCTCCACTGGCGCCTGAGACCAGGGCGGGGAGGGCGAAGGCAGACTCGGCAACGGCCACAGTCCTCTCGGGTCTGACAGCCCCGGCACACTCCACACCCTCGGCTCTGTTGGGGGGCCAGAGGCATGATGCACGGGGCTAGAGCTAGGAGGGCCAGGGGCTAGGGCTAGCCTTGGGCCCACCCCACCTGCCCAGCTCACCTTTTCCACAATCCTGAGGCACCGTCTCCGCTCACACTTGCAGAATAGCCCCGAGGCCACATCATGGGGCAGCTGCAGAAGGCAGGTGGAACAGGCCCCGCAGTCCTCGGTTACCCGACAGGCTGCACACTCTCCACAGCCCACACGCTGCACGGAATGGGTGGGGCAAGGTCACAGACTTAGGCAGAGTGACTCCAGGAGCACTGTCCTCAAGAGTCTGCTGATCCTACATTTGCTCCCATCACTGTGTCTGCTAGTCCCCCATTTGCTTCATCACTGTATCTGATAACTACTGATTAGCCAACATCATTGAGGCCTTCACAATGTCTACCATTCCCATTTATCTCATCCACTAACACCCTATTAACGCCCATTATAGTCTGCTGGCTGTACTACATGGATCCATCACCATTCCTTCAGACCTCCACTAGCTCCCATTACATCTTGCTCCCACCACCCACTTGTGAGGAGGAGGTAGGTTATGCTTACCTTAAACATCCTCTGCTCCCGGTTGAAAGCAATTCTCTGTGCTGGGGGGAAGATAAGAAAAGACGAGGAAAGGGAGCATTAGATATTTGATCTCATCCAATGCCTCTGCCCTGCCATTCACCATTCAATGTCCAGCCTGACACTGGTGACTAGACTGACACCAGAACTATTCCAGCTCCTATCTCCTCCGGTAACAGCACCCACTCACCTCTGCAGTCCTTGCACAATGTCTTGAGCCGCTGCCTTCCAGTCCCATCCCCTGAGAAGCTGATTCCACAGTTCTCACAGTGCCTGGGATAGGAATCATGAGTGTGGGGCCCTGAGCACACCCCCAACCACAACCCTCACCCCCTTGGCTCACTTTAGGCCAACACTCACCCAGGTGCAGGGAGTGATGCTGGGGCCGTGTCAGCATCAGCCTTGGTTTTAGCCCCTGGGGCCTCCTTTCTAACCTCAACCCTCTTGGGTCCAACCTGACATTTTCGAGCTTTAACTGGCTTCGAAGGCTTCTTCCGCTTCCTTCCGGGGAGAGCCAAGTTTTGGACCTAGAAAGCAAGGGCAGGAAGAATGTAGGTCAGTGGGTGGGTTTTAGGTGGCTCAGCCCCCCTGGCATCTGGGTACCCCACACTGTGTAGCACCTTGGGGGCTGGATAGCACAGGATGCCTTGTTTGAAGTCGAAGAGGCTGAGGTCGCACGAAGGGCCAAGGTATCGAATCAGCTCAACTTTGCTTCGGATCCTGTCTCCTGTGGGGCTGGGGGTGGGCCAGAAGCGATAAGTACGCAGGTGGAGCCATTGCCCCTCCACCCACTCAATTCCCCTGAGAGGTGGGCAGGCCTGCAGGGTTGGTGGAATACAGAAGTAGTCTGAATCTGCTTGGCCAGGCCCTATCCCAACTAACCCTAGTAGCAAGAATATTGATGTATAAATACCAGCAGATATAAAAACATTAATTAATAACAAATGCAAATGAATGTGCATGTATTTACTACTATAACGTATAATACTAGAGGTATTCTATATAAGTTAAAATAAACACAAATAGGAACACAAATACATTAAGTAAAATGGAAATGTGTTAGCAGTATATATTAACTACAAAGACAAACAAATTTATGTAAGGAACAAATGTTTAAAAATCTACATATACAGCCCTGGCCAGGTAGCTCATTTGGTTAGTATTGTCCTGATATGCCAAGGTTGCAGGTTCAATCTCCAGTCAGGGCACATACAAGAAGCAACCAATGGCTCAGGGGGCATGGCTCAGTGGTTGAGCATTGACCTATGAACCATTATATCATGGTTCAATTCCTGGTCAGAGCATGCCCAGGTTGGTAGCTCAATCCCCAGTGTGGAGTGTATAGGAGGGAGCCAATCAATGATTCTCATCACTGATGTTTCTATCTCTTCCTTTCTGAAAGCAATAAAAATAATCTTATGTAATAAAAGGCTAATATGCGAATTGACTGACAGCAGAACAACCAGTTGCTATGACATGCACTGACCACCAGGGGGGCAGATGCTCAATGCAGGAGTTGCCCCCTGGTGGTCAGGGCGCTCCCACAGGGGGAACTTCCGTCAGCCAGAAGCCCTGAGCTAGGCTCATGGCTGGCGAGTGCAGTGGCAGTGGCGGCAGCACTAAGGGTGTCCGATTGCCAGCTTAAGCCATCAGTCAGACATCCTCTGAGGGCTCATGGACTGCAAGAGGGTGCAGGCCAGGCTGAGGGACCCCTGGGTACATGATTTTCAGGCCTTTAGTGTGTGTATGTATGTATGTATGTATGCATGTATGTATATAGGAAGCAACCAATGAATGCATAAATAAGTAGAACAACAAATTTGTTTCTCTCCCTTTCTCTTCTAAAATCAGTCAATATACATACATATAAAAATATATATACAAATAGATGTGTAAACAAATAAATGCAACTATATATAAAATAAAGTTTAAGTAACTGATATTAGGACACAATACTCCACAGGTCTCTTGCATTTCTGTATGCTTTGCAAGAAAGGCACAAACTGTCCTTTGCTATTAACTGTCTTTTCAAGGTTGTTTGTACAGTAAATACATAACTTTGGAAGGTAAGAGGAAGGGTCTCCTTCTAGCGCAAAGGGAAGATATCCTTACTGTCCTAAACATTATAAAAGACTGAAGTCCTTAAGGCAGGGTTCCTTACCTACAATATAACCCAGTGCCTGTGCAGTGCTAGTTAGCCTTCTTCATTTCAGCTTGTCCGAAGTGGCTTTCAGGGACTCATTCTGGATACTGCTATTGCTAAGAGTAATAAGCTCTTTCACCTCTGACCCAGGAATCTCATATCTTCCAACAGCATCCAAAAACTATGACATTCACTGATGTTGAACTTTAATTCACTGATATTGAACTCAATAGCTGTCTTGATCTAATTAGGGTAAAATCTCTGATCCTTTACAGTTCTTGATAATTGCACTGACATTTATAAATGTTAGAAGTTTTACATGCTAAAAATATGTGAATGTAAAATTAAATATAAGTAAATGTAAATATATTTATAATTTTATTATTCTTATAGAAAACCAGCAACTTAGACAAAGTTCAGAAGAGTAGAAAATTTAATAACGAATATATCACAAATATATCTTAATCCTTATGCATAAATTGTTTATTAATATGTATGTTTATGAATTATAGTCAAATTTAATTATTTCTGGTAGCTATGTTCTATATTATAGAATCTATAAAGTCAGCTTGAATACTGCATTAGTGAATATAGAACCACTGCTCCTGGAACTACAGGTTGGTTCCTATGAGCCTGTAGTCACAATATTTTTGTAAACTAATCCTATGTAACCTTGTTTTATGTGTTTCTGTGTCAAAATACTCTATCCTACCTAATAAAAGAGAAACATGAAAAGTGACTGCACTTTCGCTATACCCACAAGCCATGCCCACCAGCCAATCAGGATGAGTATGCAAATTAATCCAACCAAGATGGCAGTTACTTTGCATATCCAGTCCAGAGCGAAGATTGGAAGATTGAAGACAGCGTAGAAAGAAGCCAAACGCTGCAGAAGGGAGCGAAGCTGCGGAAAAGCAAGCAACCAGGCAGGGGAGAAGGAAGGGAAGCAGGCCGGCTGGGAAAGAAATGAGGGAAGTAGGCAGGGCAGCAACCGCAGCAGGAAGCCCTATTGTAGGAATCTTCCTGCAACAGGCCTCTAGCTTAATATATTCTTCTTATAAATAACTAACTGTGTGGTCTTTGAATGATGTAAAGCCAGGAGCTTTGAAGTCCATCTCCATCAGATAGGTTTCTTTGCCAATGTCCTTGTAAAATAATCCAGTCTCATCAGCATTGAAAATCTACTCTTCTACATAGCTGCTTTCCCACATAACACTGGCAGGTATTTTTAAAAATCTTCCGCAGACTTCTAATCTGCCTTACATGCAAATTTAACATTTTTCACAATATATCACCTTTGAAACATTTGAGATAGCCAGCACTAGTGGCAACAGGTTTAACATTTTTCTAAACCTGAGCAACATGACTGTCACTTCTGGGCTTTCAAGCCTCATAATGCTGCCCACTACACTTTATTGGTCAGCATCGCATAGATCCACACAATTAGCCAGTCTTCCACCTTTTCCTTAGCTTCATCATGTATTATAGATACTACTTTCTGAAGCAGCCTCGTGTACAAATTGGCAAATTTCCTCTTCTTTTTCTAGATGTATCACACTTTTGATTTACTATGATGAACTCAGAGCTGACAATACTGCAACTCACACCTGAATGAAGTTCATTTAACACTAGTGCCCTGTTGCACAGATTCGTGCACATTGAAAGGAAATTATTGTAGAAGGTGGCTGGCGGGGTGTGGCGGACTGGGTGAGAAGGGCAGGACAGGCCCTGGAGCCAACCTCCCTTGGTCCCTCTCCTGCAGGCCGAACCTGGGGCGCTACCTAGGCTTGAAGGGTGTCTGCGGAGTGAGCAGGTCCCTCTAGCAGGTTGGGTCCCTCGCTCTGTCCTGTGGGGATCGGCCCAAAATTGGTTCTCCAAAATCCTGAGGAGTCCCGGATTGCGAGAGGGACACACCCAGAAATCGGGCTCCCTCCTCTCTGGTATCAGGGTGCGTCATCCAAGAACTGCCACTGCCAAGTCACCAGAGCTAGAGGCTACTGCATTGAGCACCTGCCCCCTAGTGGTCAGTGCACATCATAGCAACCAGTCATTCTGCAGTTCCGTCAATTTGCATATTACCCTTTTATTATATAGGATGTATTTTCTCCTGCACATCACAGATTTCTTGCACTTATTAGTAGAACACTAGATAACACTATGCTTTAGGGCCATTGCAAAAAGCACAAAAATTTGAAAAACTCAGCACTAAGTAGACCATGAAAAGGACTTGCTTATAGTACAAGTGCTGGGATAAGAGGGCTTTGTTCAACCTGGGAATAGGTGCACCAGGCTGGTTAAATTGTTTTTGCTGCTCTTTGCATGTCCATGATGACCATGAAAACATAGCTGAGTAATGACTTTGGGGGTACAAAGTGTAGTGAGTAGGTGAATTTACAAATATGGAATCTGCAAATAATGATCAAATGTATATGCATAATTTTAGCCCCACCCATAAATTTAACCACACCCCAATTTTACAATGCCTAACCAGGCTAAGTCCTACCCCTGACTGTACCCACAACCCAACCAGTACCTCTGGTAATAGGTGTCTGAACGTCCACAGGTGGCACCTGACTTTCGAAAAACCTCACGACGCTTCCAGCCGGGGCCCAGGGCTGGGCAGTCCAGCCACTCCTCAGCCATGGGAGCCACAGGAAGGAGCAGGGGCCTGCAATATGGAGGAGGCAACAGGAGAAACAGCCTGTCGGGAGGTGACATGTTGTGCCCCAGGTCACATAAACCATTGGTATCTATTAATACTTGTGCAAAACCTGCTGTAACAGTAATAATTTCCTAGTTTATAAGTTTGTAATTTTAGGGTGAACTCTTAGAGTGACGTATTAAGGGTCAGACTTGACCACTTAGGTAGCTACCTCCGTGTGTGTGTGTGTGTGTGTGTGTGACATAGATAAAACTTACCCCATATCCCTCCTGTACTCCACCCATAGGGATGACACATTACTGATAACACTTGTGTGATGACCTATGTTACTGATAGCCACCTGAACTGCCTTGGGCCAGAACAGGCTTAAAAAAATGGGTCCCCAACTTTACATATCGATCATCCTCTTGCCCCACGCTCCACGCTGCCTTGCCCCACACCAAACCTCCGATCGCGAGACTTTGGTCGCCCTCCTCCTGCTGACTCCACCCAGTCAGACAACCAGCCACCCAAAGACAGATCTGCCGCTGCCCGCAGAGGACGCCACTCTCCCCTGTTGACCCCGTTAAGTCTGAGCCCACGGCACCAGGAACCTTGTGAGTAATAGTGTGCTGTGTGATTTGTAACTGCATATTCTTGTGTGGCGTAATTCCTCCGGCAGTCTTAACTGTATTAATATAGGGTCAGATGATAATGCCCACCCTCGGTCCTGCTTGCTTAGAGTAGTCTCTTTGCTAGCAACTACTTATGGTCTGAACACCTGTGCGGTTAAGTTTATTTCAAGGGACGCCTTGGATAATGCCCCATTTACTCTACTCGGACACCTGCCACAGGCAACTGGCTGATTTAAGGAAGAGAAATCCCCATTCCCACCAATTCTTCCCTGTCCTGGCCCAGGAGCTTGACATTTGTCATCCTCTTGACCTGGAAGCCCCATCCTCAACCCAAGGGTTCTCCTGCCTCACTTCCAGTACCCTGATCCCATTCCTTCCTCCCCATCCATCCTTCACCTGAGAGCCTGTCATTTCTGCCCACTGCCCACCTAAGAACCTTTCACTCTTCCTCCTTACTTCTCCCCGTCTTTGGTGCAAGAGCCATTCTCTCTTTGATCTACTGGCTCCCTATTCCTCCCTTTGTCACCTCTGTACTCGCCATCATCAGCTCAAGAGGCCCCATTCACTGAGCCCCCAGGCTGCTTTCCCAGCACTAGACATCAGCGCTCCGATTCCCATTCGCTCCCGTTCTTGACCCAGGAGTCCCCGTTCTCTCTCTTTCTTTCCCTGTCGGATGTCCGCTTATCCTGCTTCCTCAGTGTTTCCTCGATTTCCTGTGTTCTCTACCAGAGTCCCAAATTCCTCCACATCCCCACCCTGAACAGCCCCTCATTCCTTCTGTTCTCAGCCTGAAGATTCCCTCTCTGTCGGTGTTCTGAGCCACAATCCTCTCTGGGATCTCCCACTCCTCTCCTCTGTAGTTAAAAGTTCCCTCACTCCTTCCCAGTAGCGTCCTCCTCTTCTCTCCCACTCAGCAGCCACAGAGACCCCGGCTCTCCCCGCAGCGTTCGAACGCCCCGCTCCTCTCTCATTGTCCCAGGACCATGCCGTCTCTAACTGTCAGCGTTCTGACACCCTCCCTCTCCCCGTCCTCCGTTGGCTATCCTGGCCCTCCCTTTCCAGATCCAACGCCCCAAGTCATCTTCCTGAGAGGTCCTCGTCAATCCCCTCGGCGCTCACCACCCGTTTTTCTCTCCTCAACCCGAGAGGCCCCCATACCTCCTCTCACTCCTCTATGTCCTCGTCCAGAATCCCGGCACCGCCAGTGTCCACTGTCCAAGTCCTGAGCCCCAGCCCGCTCCGTCTTCCGCCTAAACCTCCCTATTCCAGCCCCTCACTGTTCCGAAGCCGCCATTCCTCCCGCTCCTCGGCCTGCGGGCCTCCTCCATCCACGCAGCGAGCCTCACGGCTCCCCACTCCGCCTGGGCGCTCTCCACTGCCACCCGCGACTCTCACCCGCTCTGCACCGGGCCGGGAGCTTTCACAGGTCTAGGTCCGCGAACCCATAACGAGGGCTCCCGCCAAGGACTCCGGCCTTGCCCAGCTCCTCTTCTTCCTCCTCTGCAGCCGCTCCGGGGGTAGCTGTCGCCGCCGCGGCCGTTCGCTGCACCCGAGACCGGAAATCCGGGGCCCACCCCCAGCGTTCCGCTCCCAGAGAGGCGCCTGCGCACTAATGCCCGGCCAGCGCTTGCCCTTAGTGGGCAGCACTGCGCGCCTGCGTGCTGAGTCCCGCAGCGGCGCGCGCCCCTCGCCCAGATCTGCTGCGCTTGCGCGATGCAATCCAAGTCCACTGGCCTCCCTACCGGAGACCCGCAGTCCGGCGCTTCACGCTTCGCCAACCGGCGCGCTCTCCCCACTCCGCCCACCTCAGCTGCGTCTGCGCTCTCCAGTCCAACCGAAGGGGGCGTGGAGGATTGGGGTCGGGCCTGGGCTCCCGTTGCCTAGGCGATCTCCTCTAGGAGTAACCAGTAGAGAGAGGTGGCGCCGGCTGGGGTGAGAGCCCAAGCACTCCTCTCCCCTCTCTCGCCTACGTCTCCCCTCGCTCTGCAAAATCTCCGCCCCGGACTACAGCGTCCCGCTCTCTCCTCCCCTCTGAACACTTAGTTGCAGGAGCTCGCTGAGACAGTTACTCAGGAATTGGGGAAGGAGGCGGTGCCGCCCCAGAAGTAAACAAGCCGGGTCAGGCAAAGGACTGATGAGATCTGGTCCATCCCAGGAAGGGCGAGCTGTGGGGCCCAACTTACCGGACAACCAGAGAAGGCTGATGGTTCCTGGCACAAAGTTAATGGGGTCCTGCTGTATACATATCCCAAAAAGGGGGTTGTAAGAAAAGAGGGAGGCTTGTGTCCATCATTGAATACACCTCTGGTCTATTTTTAGATAGATTTCTTAAAAATTGATTTAAGAGACACAGAGAAACATCTATTTGTTGTTCTACTTATTTATGCATTCATTGGATCTTTTTTTTGTTAATCCTCACCCGAGGATATTTTCCCATTAATTTTTGGAGTGGAAAGAGGAGGGAGAGAAACATCAGTGTGAGAGACACACATCAATTGGGTGCCTCACACGTTCCGGATGGAACCTGCAACCCAGGTATGTGCCCTTGAGTGGGAATGGAACCCCTGCTTCTTTGGTGTGCAGGCTGATGCTCTTAACCCAGAGCAACCAGCCATGGCTCATTGATTTCTTCCATGTGCTCTGACTGGGGATGGAACCCACAACCTTGGTGTTTTGGGATAACTCAAATCAATTGAGCTATCTGGCCAGAGCTGGTCTGGAGAATATTAATGCTTAAACAGTGGTAAATCAGCCAAACACTGAATGAGTGCTGACTGTATACTCACTGTCTCAAAATGAGAGCTGAAACTGTAAGTAATTGGGCTCTGCCTCAGCAGGTCATATCCCCACAGCCCAAGGGGGTAACTTGCACCTAGTGGATGCCGCCTGTGTATACTCACAACCTACACATGTACTGGCTTATCTACTTCATGAATTTGAGAATTCAGATGCAACTGAGTCAAGTTTGGCGACAAAAATTTGGTTCTTCAAAATTTTATTAACAAAACCAGGAAGAAAGGAAGCAAGGGTGAACAGACTGCACTGTTCCACCCAGGGATAAAGAATGAAGAAACAGAAGGACACAGAAAGGAAGAAAGTGAGTCTGGTAAGGGCAAATGGGTGGTCAAATGATGGATGGAGAAACAGAGAGACCACTGAAGAAAGACAAATGGGAGATTCCAGGCAGCTGCCCTGCCTGGGGTGAAGACTGTGAGGACATCTGAGCCAGAGAGGCTCAACGGTCAGCACTGGAGCGAAGGTCGGTAGTCAGTGGGTCATGCTGGATGGTTTGATGCAGCATCAGGGCCAGTAATCCTGCCCGGTTAGTCATGGCTGTGCGTACATTGCGCTCCTGCTCAAACAGCTCGTCCAGCTTGTACCACTGCCAGAGGAACAGAAGGAACCTGATATGGAGCTCTGGAAGACCCGCCTCACCCTGGCCACATCCAGCACCAAAACCTACCACACGCACACGCTCCAGGTCCACTTCAGCACGCCGCAACTTCTCCCAGCAGTAATGGCGGTTGCACTGTCGCTTGGGCAGGCGGCAGAATTCACCTGTGAGCTCAAAGACATCACGTACAAGGGGGCACCCACATACCTCGTCAGCTGGCACCTGCAGGAAGATAGGACATGAGGATGAATGGGGTGTGGTAAGGCAGAAAGGAGGATGAGAATGGGAAATGGTCAGGAAAGGAGGAGGGAAGGAATGGAGAGTTCAAAGGAAAGTGAGAGGTATGGAAAAGGGAGGAATCCTATATAATAAAAGAGTAATATGCAAATTAACCATCATTCCACTACACCCACAAGCCACGCCCACCAGCCAATCAGAGCAAGTATGCAAATTAACCCCAACTAAGATGACTGAGGTCACAGAGAGCAGGAGGGTGGCTTTGGTTTCCCTGGTAATAGAGGAAGCCAAGCTTTCCACACACCCTGGCGGTCCAGGCCTCCACTCAAGGGTACAAAGTTTCAATTATAAAAAACAACAACAAAAAACAAAGTTTTAATTATAGAAGATAAATCCCAAGAAAAATGGCGGCAGCCACAGAGCTGGAGAGAACAGGCTAGGGTTGCCTCCGGCAATGGAGGAAGCAAAGCTTTCCACCTGCTCTGGCCGGCCTAGGCCTCCACTCAAGGATACAAAGTTCCAATTATAGAAGATACATAAATTCCAACAGAAATGGCTGCTGCCACGCCACGGAGTGAGGAGGCTTGGCTCTGCTCCAGGCTAAAAAGTTTCAATTGTAGAAGATAAATTCCAGATATTGGGGCCCCTGCTTGGGTCACTGGGGGGCATGGCTGGCCTGCAAACAATCACAGGCCCCTTGCCCAGGCTGTCCCACACCCAAAGGGAACCTCCACCCTGATCTGGGATACCCTTCAGGGCAAACCAGCTGGTCCCCACCCATGTACCAGGCCTCTGTCCTATCTAATAAAAGAGTACTATGCAGTTTGACCATCACTCCAACAGACAAGATGGCTGCCCCCATATGGTCAAAGATCCTGCCCCCATGTGGACAGCAGGGGAGGACAGTTGGGAGGCACCAGGCCTGCAAGGGAAGGCAGTTGGGGGGTAATCAAGCCTGCAGGGGAGGGCAGTTGGGAGGGACCATGCCTGCAAAGGAGGGAAGTTGTGGGCAAACAGGCTGGCAGGGGAGCAGTTAGACATCAATCAGGTTGGCATGGGAGTGTTTAGGGGTGATCAGGCTGGCAGGCAAAAGCGGTTAGGGGCAATCAGGAAGGCAGGCAGGCAGGTGAGCAGTTGGAAGCCAGCAGTCCTGGATTGTGAGAGGGATGTCCAACTGCCCATTTAGGCTTGATCCCAACGGGTTCCAGATTGCAGAGAGTGCAAGCTGGGCTGAGGGACACCCTCCCCTTCCCCCTGCACGAATTTCGTACTCTGGGCCTCTAATCCTATATAATAAAAGGCTAATATGCAAATCAACTGAAAGGTGGAATGACCAGTCGCTATGGCATGCACTGACCACTAGGGGACAGATGCTCAATGCAGAAGCTGTCCCCTGGTGGTCAGTGCGCTCCCACAAGGGGGAGTGCCACTTAGCCAGAAACTGGGCTGACAGCTGGCGAGCACAGCAGCAGGGCAGGAGCCTCTCCTGCCTCTATAACAGTGTTAAGGTTGTCCAACTGCCAGCTTAGGCCTGCTCCCTGGACTGCAAGAGGGCATAGGCTGGGCTGAAGGACAGCCCCTCCCCCGAGTGCACAAATGTCATGCACTGAGCTTCTAGTAGAGAATAAAGAGGCAGGGAAAGGAGGAGGGATAGGAGGTTAAGAGCCAGATGAATAAAGGATAGTGGAAATTATTAAAGTGGTCAGGCAGGAAAGGAAGAAGGAGAGGGGGAAATAGATGAATGTCAGACAGTGCAGAAGGGAAGATTGACAGAATGTGAGGAATTGAGGGAAAACCTTACTTTGGGGTCCCTTGAGTGCTCTGGACACAAGACCTGGAGCCGCTTACAGTATGTCTTGCTCTGAGGATTGTAAACATCACAGAAGAGTCGTGTGGCCCTGGGGATTTGGAGAAGAGAGAGAATAGTAAAAGGACAGAAGGGGGAACCACCTATCATGCCCATCTTGATATCCTGCCCCAACATTTTACTTCTGACCCCAGCATTAACCT